GGATTGATGTGTGGACAATGCAGATCTTTGTCTGGCCCATAGAGAGGCCTAAAAACTTATTTTATATGATTCCTTTTTTATTTATTTTTTTCATTTGCATGTTGTTATTTCAATTGTTTTTAAAGACTTTTGATTGAAATTGAAAAGAAAGCACACTTAAATTCGCAATAATGTGTTTGTGATATGAACTATTTTGGCCAAACTGGGTGTGTTTTAAACTTTGTGTGTCTGTGTGTCTGTTTGTGTGAGTTTATCTGAGCACTACAGTAAATGTAGCCAGCTCCATGCTAGGTGGCATCTGTGAGAGGATTCCAGTAGTAGTAGTTGATGTGAATGTAAGGAAAGTCTGTGTTTTGCAAGTCACAAGTCTCAAATCTTCTAAATTAAGTCAAGACGTGTTAAAGACAGAGTTTGAAATTTTGGGAAATAGATACAAAAATCAGGGTGTAAAAAAGTTGGTTATACGTGCTTTATGTGCTAGACTGTTTCTTGGCAGTTACTCCAAGAAATCACTACTCCCAGCCAAGAAATAATCTGGCACATAATCCATCGTAACACCATAACGTATCACTTTACTCTTTGTATTTTAAACAGAATAAACAAACAAGATATAATGTCTTAATTAATCAGCTCTAGCTGTGCTGGTAGGTGGATTTTGTTACCTTTGGACAGCGCAAAATGCTAAGCTAGGCTAACCATCTCCTAGCTGTAGCTTCGTATTTATCAGAAAGATAAGAGGGTATTATCTCCTCTAACTCTCTTTCCCAAAATGTCAAATTAACATCAAGTCCATTTACTAAACATTTGATGTTACAACAGAGTAACGTGCATTATATTTATTACGAAGCGTAAAACTTTTCAGATGAGTATCTGTTTTCCCCTCGTTCTTCTCTCTCAGCTCTCAGATTTTACTACACAACATGGAGGAGAACGAATATTGGATTAATATCACCACAACACACTGACTGTGTCAAGGGTCATTGATTTTATGCTTGCAGAGATGCTAAGCTCTTTGTTACTATCTTAAACCAATACTCAACCCAAAATATTTCCTTTTAGGATCAAACACTCAATACTTTTGAACGGTGGCTTTTAACAGTCACTTAACCACTCCTGTACCTTAATCCACTTCTCAACTTTATATTGAGATCGAAACAGTACACTGCTTCTGTTTGACACGTGCTAACGTGGACACTCAAGCGACATAGAAGCATTAGCTTTAATGACATCATTTTCGATCTTTGGTCTTGGTGGTAGAAAAGGAAGTCACAAGTCATTGGTGCTGAAGTTTAAGTCAAGTGGCAAGTTGAATTGGCTTTCTAGCTTGCCCATTCTGTTGCTCACCAAGTGAAACAAGTTGTTTTTATCATCTTTGTGTCCTGCAAAACATGAGGCCAGCTGTTTTGTGTGTTCAGTGCAACATTGGTGAGAGAAGATGTTGCTCTGCTATCTGCCAGTCTGCTCTGCACGTTACAAGCCAGTATAATAAATCAGCGCTAAAAGACCAAGCTGAAATGTTAAGGATGAGTTTGTCATTATGGGATTAATCAGCCAGCATGCATTTTTGAGCTTGCACAGAGAAAAATCTCTCTTTTTTTTCCTTTTAACCCAAATGCCCATTATGTTATCCTCGACCAGTTTAACTGGACTTCTCAAGGCAACTTTAATGGGCACATTACGATAGCAGAAAGAGCTGATTCAGGAGGATGTTTTCAACATTTCTGAATTGTTTGTTTGTAAAAAAGAAGGCATCCATCCGGTGATCTGTGAGCGTTAAGCTTGAAGACAATAGCTGTAAATAGGGGATTAAATTAAGGGCAACAATGCCATTCCATACAGTGTTTCATATTCTTGTGTACATATCAAAGTATGAAACAGGTCGAATTCAGCTGGTTTTGGTTTGAATGACTATCTCATTTTTAATGCTGCATCATGTCTCTAAAAGGAAAATCGCAAGATCAGATGGCTTGTGAGAATGTACCTGAACTGTAATTGTGTTTGCCATCTGATACAGAAAGACATTAGGTGCAAATACTGTGGTATCCCTCAATTCAGTGTAACTCCACTGATGCATGAATGACATCTGAAATGTTTCTGATTTCATATTTTGATATTGTCAGTATTGCTTTTTTAAAACTAATGATGAGAAATAACCTTTAACTTATGTTCATTTCCTGTTGGTTTCCTTGTTCGGTTTGGTAATTGTGTCTTTTTACATTTTGCACAGCGTGGCTGCATCTGCTCCCCAGGTGTGTTTATGCCTCCGTGTGTGTGTGTGTGTGTGTGTGTGGTGTGTGTGTGTGTGTGTGTGTGTGTGTGTGTGTTGTGTGTGTGTGTGTGTGTCTGTGTCTGTGTGTGTATGTATAACCACTTATGATAACTGGAAGGTCAGAGAAAAGAAAAAAACAAACCAAAATAACGAATTATTAGACATTTTCTTCTCAGCGGAACCACTTGCATGGCACAGCACTGCTAGAGGATTGTAATGTTGAGTACAGATTACAACAAAAGTGTACTTGAGTGTACACATTTCTCACAAGGCACTTGGATGAAGATGAATTAATTCTTCAGTGTTTTAAATGTTATATTTGCCAACAAAGGCAGTAGCATCGAATCAAAATGTTTTTATTTCCATGAACCAATGAGAGCTAACATCTACATTTGAAGTGTGTTTGCGTGGAAATAGTTTGATGATAAAATGGATGCAGAGCAAGATCATTATATTTAATATAATGGAAATGTTTACGTGGTGGATGGACGATGATGATGATATTGATGGTGACTGAAAAGCCTTTATATTGGGAGCTTTCCTGGCACTTATTAGGAGAAGCATGGTGGAGTCAAACTAATTTTGATTGTACTATCTGGGGAGGGTGGGGAAGCCATGTTGGGGTTTTGGAAGGGTATCATTGTGATTATTTATTGAAACTTGAGCCTTCCCTTTGTACAAATGGACAAACCAAGGTGGTGGGGGAGGGGTCACACAAGTTGACGCCATTACCCCCACCTCCCCCCATTTTAGGCTGATGGGGTGGCTCGGTCGGAGGGTTGAGACTTTGGGCCACTCTAGGCCTCTCTTGTAAATTGTCGTTATGTGATCTTGCTTGCACTTTTTTTTTTCATTTCCCAAAAACAAGAAACTAATTGTAAGTGTGTATGTGTGTGAGTGCGGGTTTTTATTTTTAATCTTTGCATTTTTTCAACGTGATTGTCTGTTGTAAACAACACTGGATAAAAGATGAGTTTTTAATTTGTATTTTTTACCTTGAGAGGAAGATGAAATCTTCTTGGACATTTTTTAACCCCCACCCACTTCCTTCCTCCCCCTTTCCTCTCTCTCTTTCTCTGTCTGGTACCTGGGAATGCTTTGAAATGTGGACTGTGACCGCACTGCTGTCATCACTGCTGTCAGTCATTCTCTGTGAATTCATCCGACTTTCTCAATTTACCCAGTTTTTTCTCTCTTCCCTCGACTCATTTTTTTCCATTAAAAAGATGAGATTGAAAAATGACCTCTACCTTTGTGTTGACATTGTGTGTGTGTGTGTGTGTGTGTGTGTATGTGTGCATTTATTTGCTCTACTTCTGGCTATATAAATCACTGAATATTTGTGTGTTTTTGGACAGTAGTCAGTCAGTCTGTCTGCTTGTCTGCTTGTCTGTATTGTTGCCAACTAGGGCAGCTTACTAGTCAGTTTAACCATTTCTTTCTCAGGTGGTGAGGACTTTCTAGCTCACACATGGCCAACACCAACCATTCTTTCCTCCTTTTCACTGGGGCGATAACAATCTATCAAAGCAGTGTGTTCAAAGTCAGATTTCAAAACCTGAATAACTAATTATCATTTCCAATTTAAATACACTACACGCTAAAAACACATTCACACAAATCTTTTTCTTTTTCTTTTTTTGCGTAGCACTCCAAAAATATTCTAACCTTTTCATGTGTATGAAATAGGAACAAATTGGCTATGAACTGACAAAAGATTAAGGGACAGCATTGTTTTGCTGTAGCTATCCTGAAAAAAACTGGGAATGGGGGACAAAAGAGCCCCACTGTCTGCAATTGTTTTCAAACAACACTGCAGAAGAGAATACACTTTGCTATTCAGGGCAGGTACAGTTTTGCTATTTGTGATGTATTCCTGGAGATGAGACATTCATCATAGCTGCTGTGTTGGCCAGACCTGGCTGAGCAACAGCAGCAGGGTGAAGTCAAGCTGATCAACAATTCCATTTTTTCCCCTTACCTGCTTTCCTCCAGAAGCAAGAAAACCGAAAACCAGTGCACACTTGGTTCCTTTGGGGAATATAGGTATTTTTAACAATATGCTCTGAAAAAACTCCTCCATCCATCCTTTGGCAGAGCTCCAACCTTATCCAAAATCCTGCACAGCACCCCCAACCCCCGCCATCCTGTGCATACAGAAACCCACACACAAACGCCTGTGTGCCACACACACTCAGACATGCGTGCATACAAACATGCACTTTCACCCACATACTGTACAGTATGCACATACACACACTGCCTAGAGCTCCCATCTTCTTATGAGCTTCATTACTCTGACCCCAGTCTCCCTTTCATATCTCTAAGGATGTTTGTGTAGTGTATGTGTGTGTGTGTGTGTGTATGTGTGTGTGTGTTTTCCATTCAATACCCAATAGAATATGAGTATGTATATTTATTTAGGCCCAGAGTAAGCACAAGTGTGTTTATGTGTGTGTGTACATGTGCAGAAATGTGTATTCTGTATATCAATGTGTGAATACTCTACTACGTGTATGGAGTGTATGTGTGTGTGTGTGTGTGTGTGTGTGTGTGTGTGTGTACATGTGTGTGTATGACT